AAATATGCTACAACATAAATAATCTAATACTATCAAGTAAAATATATTAAATATTATATTAATTAATAGAAAATATTTATACGGGAATATATACATATTAATTGTTTTTTGAAACTTCATTTGTTAACTAATTTCTATAGAAAAATGAAAAGCATAGCATATCATTTTGCTAGGAAACATGTGTATTTTGAAAAAAAAACAAATACAGTAATTTTCATAAGCATATTAAATAACATGATTTATTCAAAACACATTAGAAGATATATTATTGCTTAATTTTTTTTATCAAATGAAAAATGATTTTTGAAACATACCATCAATATAGTTGATGAGCCTAGGAAATATATAAATTATATTTCAACTGGGTCAACAAGTTCAGATACATTTTAACACTAATATATATATATATATATATATATATATATATATATATAGTTATATGGTAATATAATTCGAATGCTGGCTAATTATATATGCACTTTACTATTTCTACATTAGTATTAGAATATTTGAAAATTAATAATAGTGAATAATTTTATTTTCTTGATATAACCACCATCCACCTATCCATGTTTCTTCTTCCTTTTCATTTTACATCTTCATACAAAACATTTCTTTTAACATTTTTTGAATCATGTATACAAAATATTTTCCTCTTCATGTTATTTATCATTGTATCCATTCTAATAATATATCTAACTAAATAAATGCACACTGAAAGAGAAAAAAAATTATATATGATTTACTAACTTCAAAAGAAAAATAATTGAATTTGAAGCCGAGTTTTTTCAATCAAATTGAATAATTGTACTAACGATCTTATTGGTTATCGGTCAATTTTATTTGTTCAACAGAAAATTGTTTTAGGAACAACATTTACCCAATTAAACAAAAGAGTCAACGGTTGAACCATTCATACAAACGGGTCCAACTAATGAAATAATGCATATAATTTAGTTTGCCTAAATATCTAAAAGCAATATTCTAACAATCTTAATTTTTTTTTAAAGTAAACAGTTACCCGGGCGGACGCACGGGTCAAAATCTAGTTAAGCACATTAAGTAAATAACTCACATTGATATCTATACTATTTAACTATCACATTCAAAACTTTAATATACACAAACATAACAAAATCAATACTATTATAATAAAAACAACTTCAACCATTACATTTAACTATTTTTCTTATTACATTACTTATATCTAAATTAATTATTTATTTAAATATATATATATATATATATCTTAGCCTAAAATTAAACAATTAAATAACTAATCTATTACTTTTTAAATGATAAATTCAATCTATATTAACACTAAATTTAATTAAGTAATCAATTATATTTGTATTAATATGAAAGTTATATCTGCCTTTTGTTTATATAGAATTTTACTTTATCCAAATGCAAAAAAAAAAATCTTCAAAACCCTCATAATATACATAATAATATAATTTTTCTCGATAGAATATTAAAATTATACAAATATATATATGATAAAAATATGAAGAATTAGATATTACTAATATTTTATGATATGATGAAGCATGTCCTTATCGATATTTTATGAGTATAATTTTACGGGCTATTCCAAAAAACATGTAAAATATTTATTAAATATAAAAATAATTCAATTAAACATAAAACATACTTTAAGTTAGGTTTTGGCTATAAAATATTCGTTTAGATACAGGTTGAGTAATTGGAATTTCGATTCTAAATTATATCACATCTTAGGTCTTTTTCTGATAAATTTGTAAATATGGACCGAATTCGGATATGACACATCAATTTTGATTCTTTTTATCACGTCTGAAAACCTATAAAATAATCATATATCATTCGGATTCGGGTTATATTGGTTCAGTTCAGATATATCTAAAACTTTAAAGAGAAACAAATACTTATTGATTTGGATATTTAAGGTACTTATTTAAAATTTAATACTTATGATTAGATATTGTTAAAAGTAAATATAAAATTTTATATCTAAAGTAAATATTTATGTTTCAAATTTATATATATATATATGATTAGTTTGGACATTTATATCAGTTTTTTTTTATTTTTCGATTTTTCAGATTATCCGTTTGGATTCGGCTAATAACACTTTTGTTTATGGATTTCATGGTCTAGCCTATTTAAATAAATAGAAAATACGATTATATTTCACCAAAAATTATCCGGTGCTTTCTAAGCGCGGGTCAAAATCTAGTCTATATACTATTAAAACTGAAGTACAATTTTGAATTAACCCTTAATTTTCCTCCATAATTACAAGTGAGTGCCATTAATTGAACTATATTAAATATTAAACATTTTAATTATCTACAATATTTTGAAGATATACTTAGAAGATTTGAACAAAAAATATTCATTAAATAACCAAATATTAATATCTTATAAGTTTTAAATTACCTAATATAGTTTTATATATGATTTGAATTAAATAATATTTTTTCTTCAGTTTGTACATATGATAGTACGAAGGATGTTTTTTCTACTTTGGTTTGCTTTTTACTTTCTTCTTGTTTAAATATATACATTTTTATCATAATTAATATAGATAGTTGGGTTTAATATATGATTATTAAAAAATATAACATTTAACTGTGCAATTAATTAAATTCAAACAAAAGAACAACACAACACACATTTTTTTTTTTTTGTAATATGGGAACAGCTTTGAAATTATATATTATACTATATATAATATTACTAAATTCTATTTTCCATATTACAAAATAAGTGTCACTTTTAGTTCTTAATTCTTAAATAAAAATCGAAAATATTTTTATTATTCCAATAAAACAGAATAAAGCTTCTAATAAATGATTTATCATATAACTTTAAATTGGAAGAAATAATTGAATATATCACATATTAAATTTTTATTAAAGATCACATATTATCAAAATGATTTTTTTAAAAAAAGAAATTAAATTAGTAAATAAATACAGTTTTATTATAAATTGTCAACCATAAATTAATTTGGAATTAAAAACGCAGGTCAATTTTTTTTAAAAAAAATTAAGATGTATATAAAAAATAAATTCAGTGTTAAAACACGGATCACTGTTCACCACGATAATTTTTTTCAAAAAATACTCAGTTAGCTATATAGTAGAAGAAACTCATTTTGATTTTGAAATTAACAGTCTAAATCAGAATTGCATAATAGTAGTGAAAATGTTTTTATAATAAAAAATGTATATCATCTTTGGTATTTTGTATTAGATTATAACAAAAAATCTCGCGCTTTTAAAGCTCGAGTCAAAATCTAGTTTGTTTTATATCCGAAAAACTAGTACTAAAAAACAAATGAGTATTTAATTACAACAATTTCAATATATGAAACTCAAGTTATAAATCTTGATACAATAGCTGGTGGTGTATCATCCTCCTGTTTTCTTCTCCTAGATTAGCTTTCCTCTAGCATTTTGTCTCTAAAAAGGCAAGTAGAAGAATATCCATTAGTGAATGATGAAACATCTTTTCTATTAAGCATTTTCTTATTTTTTTTGTCTTTCAAATGTGTCATAAGATCCACCAAAAAGTATTTAATCAATGGTTTCGTATTGGCCATATTTTTTCATAATAGAAAGTTCATGTTTTGATAAATAGAACTACTCGAGAAAAAACCCAAAAAATCTAAATATAATAGTTATTTTGGATAATTTCACATAAAGTTATATATTTCAAATATTACTTAAACCAAACTATATTTATAATTATTTTGAATAAAAAACAATTCAAATTGTATTTAATGGATGTGTTCCTAACCGGTTAGGTACGATTAAAATCTGATGTGATCTGCAATTCTAACTCAACCTTAAATCATTTAATTTTGAGATTTTTGTCATTTTAACTAAATCTCAAATTCCTAAATCTTAAAATTTTACTATTTAGAATCTCAAAATTGTTTTAACTATTTTTATCTTATAATTACTTATTTTACAATTACATGTACCAAAGAGTACTTTTAGTACACCAAAATAAAATAAAATAGGATAAATATTACTTAACATTAAAATAATGTATACACAAATGAAAAATACATTAAATAAACTCACACAAAATAAAAATACATTAAACAAACTTAACACAAATTAAAGTAAATTATATAAACACTTAAATATTATACTATATCTTACCAGTGATATCAAAATACCAGAATTCATAACCGATATTTCTACCTCGTAACTCAAGTGCAGAAAGGTTTGCTACATTCAAAACGTTTCTTTCTTGGCCTTGGAGCTTTGGGTATGTCAGTTTCTATCTGTTTTGCAGCAGCGAGTAAGACTATGGAAAGTTTGTAATGGTCAACATGGATGAAAGTGAGTGTGATACAGAGATGATGATGAAGCTACTCAACCTGGTTTCAAAGAGATAAGTGGACGACCGAATGAAATCGCTGATGAAGGATTTTGGGCACTTGCTACCGCCAGTTAGCAACTATAGATTTTTCTCCAATGATTCTCAGTTTACGTGTTTGTATGGAGATGCAGACATAAACAGTCCGTTTTTTTTTTTTGGAGCACAACAGTCGGGGTTAATTTCCAGCAACGTGTAGGCAAAGTTTTGTACTTATTCATATCAAAACGAAAACTCTAGCATTTGCAGGACATATATATTTGTACATTTTTTACATTAGGACTACGTTCACTCATATATATCGCAAAATAAAGTGTTTAGACAAAGCTAAATCACAGTGTTTCAAAAAAGGTGTTTCAAAAAAAAAAGACAAAGCTAAATCACAAAAACCCTGCTAAAGAAAATTAACTATCGGGCAAAAGCTTATACCTTTTCGCTGGGACCCTGCAAAAACAAACAAGCCAATAAAAAGAGTTTAGAATAATCTGCCTCATATTCCTCGAGGACGCACTAGCAAAAGAAGCAAGGACCGGAGGCTACCTTTTTTCATATAGATCAGACCCGACCAGACAGAGGTGCTCCTCGAATAATCGACTCGTCTGACCACCATTTGATTTAATTTAGATGGGCGGCCGGCAAAAAAAAAAAAAAAAAGAATACTCTGCCTCAATACAACAACACTTTGGTCCATTATGATCAATACTTACTATGCGGTTTGAGCAGGCGGTGCAGCAGCAAGAATGTCTCCTCCAAGACCCTGAATACAAAGTCACAAAACCATATTATACAAAAAGATCAACAACAGTTCATTCAACTTATATAAGCATATAATAATTTACCTTGGCAAGTCGTTCCTCTCTACGAGCATGTTTCCTTTCTCGGCTAGTTTTGTTCTTAGCCCTCTTAGCCTCAAACTGGTCAGAAAAAGTCTTCTCTCTAGCCTTCTCAGCCTTTGATTTGTGGATACTTTCCATCAGAACACGCTTGTTCTTGAAAACGTTACCCTTGACTTTCATGTACATGGTCATGGTACATGTGTTTGTCAATCTTCTTGGACTCATGGTACTTCTTAAGAAGACGCCTCAAACTCTCATCCTCCTCATCCATAACACTTTTGTTGGCAATCTTGCCTCCCTTGTACCCTTTCTCTTACCTTAAAAAAACATTAAACAAAACATAAATGGTTTGTGATAATATTCAAAGAGTGTTGTTGGTCCAAAATGTTACTGTACCGTAACCAGAGTGACGTCCCTTCATTTTAGCAATATTCATGCGGCGAGCTCTGGAACGTGAGTGGATCTTTGTTGGCTTCCTGATGATGAAACCATCCTTCACTAGCTTCCTTATGTTTTGGCCTATACATTCATTAACAACGCATGTTTGAATCCGTAACAATCAAGAAACCATAGTGAATCAAGATGCTACTAATCAATGAAAAGATGTGTAACATTTCTGAGCTAAAATTCATCAGACTGAATTCAATATCAGTCGAGCTTTAAAATGCAATTCGAAAGAACAAAGAAGAAGAACGTACGCGAATTGGCCATGGAGATGTCACTGCCTTCGTTTGGATTGATCCATACTTTACCCTTTCCGCACTTCAGCCCTGAAGCTGCGAGCCGTTTTTGGAGCTTCAGCGAGACCATTTTTGCGTCTCCCTTTCTTCAGGAGATCGATTTTGGGCGGAGAATTTTTTTTTTTTTTTTGTTGTTGTCAACTTTTGGTTTTATTTAACCATGCCCAATGGACCAACATACAAGCAGATCAAACTTAAAAAAACATTCAGCCCAAACAAAGCCCAAAGCAAAAGATAAGGATAGATGCATGATTGACACATTTTTGCTTGCGTGGCTTCATTTCTACGGAAACAAGGAAAGAGAGAGAGCCGCCGGAGCTCATCACCAGACGAGAACCGTCAATCTCCTCACTCATTTCGTTTGATCAACTTGCAGGCTCCTCCTTCTTCTAAGCTTCGTGGATTGTTTATGAACTCTTCTTCACTCGTTAGAGATTTATCCAGGAAAAAGCTTCAGAGAACCGCGATTATAGCGCCTTGTTGGAACACTTCTCTATAGAAGAAGCTCCATCTCATCTGGAACTGAATCAAAGCGCCCGAGCTTATACACATCTGAGATCTTGATCTGTTAGGATACTCCGCTTCACCTTGTGCGAAGATTGATTCCTATTAAGAATCAAGAACTCAACTTTCTAACTAAGAGAAAAGAGATCATTAGAATCGAATTAATTAAAGTTGAAATCAGAGAAGGAGAAAGCTAAAACTACAAACAAAATCCAGATTAAAACTGGAAACATAATCCGCAATAGAAACATCAAAATCGCCTAACGCGAAGTATAATTCCGACTAGCAGACGAGAAAGTCAACTCTAAGGTCGAAATATTTACAAACAAAAAGTTTAGATCAACATCTTCCTCTGAAAGATAGAGATTTGGTAAGAGGAAGATGTTGAAAGAGAACTTCTCTCTCTATACGAAGAGAGAGAGAGCCTTTGTCAGCTGAGCGGAGAAAAACTAATCGGGGGAAAATAGTATCTTTATACATATGACTGTTTATAGGGTTACTATCTTCCGCAAAAACATATTCTTCCTTAAGGAAAATTGTCTGTATAGCTACAAAACAAAACATAATTAATTATCTAACTAAAAAAAAGTACTTCCATTATTTCTATAATATATACTATATTGTCCCTAGTATCCGGTTGATCAAATATTAAAATATCTTTTTCTCCTTCGTTTATCAACCTACCTCCACTATTCTTCTTCTATCTCTATCTTCTGTTCTCCGTCACTATTACAATATAATCATCACTAACTCTACTACGTTTTGTATTTATTATCTCTCCTTAGGCACCATCTTTTTTTTTTCTTTGTTCAAAAAAAAAAAAGGCACCATCTTTTTTTCTATAATCTATATATTTTTTTAATAAACATTGTCACTTCATTCATATTCAACTTCATCAGTGATTTACCATCACCATAACCACTACAACCATTTCCAAATCCAAAATCTTCTTTTCTGAAATCTACAGACCATAACAGCGTTACGGTCGAAACGTCATATTATGTAAATTTTCAGTTGTACGTGCTATTTGAATATTATGTACTATGTTATTTTGTTACTATTTTATTTAATAATGTTTCATATTATGTATATGTAATGTAGATAATTTGATATTTGGATTTGGGTTTATATATATTTTTAGGGTTTAATGATTAATATTTAATTATGCTTTGTTTTATAAAAGATTTGGGTTGACGTTGCGATAGTCATTACTTACTTTCTTGCTATCATAGACATTTCAAAATTTGAAAATATATGTACTATACTATTTCATTTGTTACTATTCTATTTTGAAAATGTTACATATTATATACTATATACATATTTTGATATTTGGATTAGGGTTTATAATTTTTTTTATGGTTAAGGGATTAGTGTTTTTGTTTTGATTTATGAAATGTTTAGGTTGACGATGAATGTAAACCCTGTAATTATAGACTAATATGAACTATACCATTTAACATTTATATTCTATTTATTTATATAATACTACCATAATCATCGTGGGTGCTATAATTTGAACCATATTCTATTTATATAATGTAACATTTTGGATTTATATTTCTATTTTGGGTTTAGTTTTTAAAATTTGAACAATATGTACTATACTATTTCATATATTACTAATCTATTTTAATAATGCTTCATATTATGTATTATGTGGATGTTTTGTATTTGAGTTAGGGTTTATATTTTCTTTCAAGATTTAGTGCTTAGTGTTTTATATTTCTATTTTGGATTTAGTTTATTTAAGGTTTGGGTTTATATTTCTATTTTGGGTACAATTTTAAAAATTTGAACAATATGTACTATGCTATTTCATTTATTACTATTCTATTTTGATAATACTTCATATTATGTATTATATGCATGTTTTGTATTTGGGTTAGGGTTTTGGTTTATATTTCCTTCTAGGGTTTAGTGATTAGTGTTTTGAATTTAGTTTATGGAAGGTTTAGGTTGATATTGGAATAAATATTACCTTATTTTCTGTAATCATATACATTTACAAATTTGATTTATTTGTACTATACTATTTATTTATTACTATTCTATTCAAATAATATTTTATATTGTATACTATTTGCATATTTGATATTTGATTAGAGATTGTATTTTCTTTTAGAATGTAGTAATTCGTATTTTAAATTTAGTTTATGAAAGATTTAAATATTCATTAAACTATTTTATAATTTTATTAACATGAATTATACCATTTAGTAGCATGTTCTGTTCTATTTATATTATATTATCAATATCATCGTGGATGCTATAATCACCACAACTTTAACAACACATTTTTTCATTTAAGTGACAAAGTATCACCGTCAACCTGCTTAAGAAAAGGAGAGAACCGAAAAAAAAATAAAAAAGCTAGGTGATCTAATTATGTCAACATCAATACCATATTTTTAATTTTACTCTTAAAAATGGCTATTACACAAATTAATCCTCCTTCCTTATTGGGTCTTTCATGAACCCCATTCTTGACTAAGTGTTATCACATACGTGCGTTGACTTATTAATTACACAAACTACACTAAGTCTACTTGGCCCACCCATTATAATACATCTTTTTGTGCATATGAAATCATTTAGGTTACTGCTTTTATTTAATCTAAATGTATGGACACATATCGATAGCATTTGGCTTCCCCAATACAGTGCTTTCCAATCCTCAAGCATCACTAGAAGAAAAAATAGCAACTATACTCCTACGAAATTTCACAGTTCCTCAACAACTACAACATTTACCGTGGTGGACGATGTCATGATGTGGCGAAAATGGAAATACAGAAACAGGATGCTAAGGGCATCTTTATCTCAGTTGCTAAAGGATGCTGTTTATCTAAAAATTATTAAATTAGTGGAGTGGGTCCCACAAAGAAAAAAAATAAGTGCCTATAAATCTTATATAAGCCACGATTTTGGAGAGTTACTTGAATTGTTCACGGGTTCCACTGACACGTGGCGACCCGCGATTGATTCTTTTCTAATTTTTTTAAGCAGATAAAAAAAACAAAAAAAACCCCCTAATGGGGTGCTGAGATAAAGATGGCCTAACGTAAAATAATCTTATGGAGAAGTACTCTAAGCTTATTTAATAGCAAAGAATGGCTGGATGCGATGACGTATGTAGTGGCGAAGATCACCAAAGGTTTTATATAAAATTTCACTACAATAGTTCTTTCTTTTGTGCTCATTTATACAACTACAAAATTAAGGTAAATAATACGCAATGACAGAGAAACTATATAAGAAGCAGGACATCATCTACCAAGGAATGCATTGGAAAGTGAATTACAAGCACTCTTCATGGCTATTCAAAAACTGTTGGAGTAAAAGGTAACATAAAAATGATATTTGAAGGGGGTAATCAACAATCGTTAGTTTACTTCACAAGTCGTCTTCCAATTTTGATGTCCCCAATTGACTCAATGAAGTTTGGAGATGGGCATAAAGGGTTTAAATGGCACAATTTAGAAGGACAAAACCGATACTCAAAACACAGTAGCAAGCATACCTGCAAATCTTGGCATCACTGGACAAACCTTCACTCGATTTCTGTAGCCGACAAGAACAATCCTCTTCCTCTAGCTTTTTCACTCTTAACGCTTAACCTAGATCTCTTGTAGGTTCTCTCGTTAAGTACATCCTAGAAGGAAATATTCTACTTCCTAAAATATCACCAACAGAAGATCTTCTTTGCTTCACACCAAAACAATATCTTCAACTCCATAAGTTTGTGACACATCATCACGCCGTAACAAACTTCCAGCACTGTGTTACACACTCATCCCCATGTGTAACACACTTTTAGTTCGAAGCGAACAAGCTCCTAAATCTTGAGCTTACAATCGATTCTTTGTCAAACGATTATTTTGATCATTAATGAAATTTATTTGAAAAAGAAGAAATGTACCAACCTACACTATCATACATAGCATCAACAAAGTGAAGGTTATTGATTTGTGGAGTTTTATGAATATTGAGATCTAAACTTAATGCAGATTTATTTGTTTTATTAACATAATTATAAAATTTATAAATCATACTTGAAACCATTAATCAACTAAATTATTAATGGGTTTAATTTTCAGAAATTATCATAAATAGAAATCATCATTATATATATGCTAATGTTTATGTCATAATTAGTTTTAAGTCATGCCATATATTTTTGATATACAATATCATTTTTCTAATGAAAATGAATGTGGTTATGAGACATAAAAAACTTAAAAAAATCACTTCTCAAATAATGTATGGGGATAAGCTAAAAACACTAAACTTTAATCATAATCTCACCTCCTAAATACTAAACATTTAACTCTACTCATGAAATCCTAAACCCAAATATATAAATAAATTTATTTTTTACCTTCTAGTGAATGCTATTTTGGGAATCTTTTTTTTCTTTTTGCAAGTTTTTTAACAAAAAAATTGATTTGGCACTATTTTAGAATATTTTTAAAAAACATTCGAGGATTTTTTTTAGATTTAGAATATTTTGTGTTACATTTATAAATATTTAAATTTGAAAGTAATTAAACGTTTAGAATTATA